ACCCCGACTGGCCCCCACCCCGCTCATCCCTACTGGGTCACCCCCACCGGGTCACCCCCACTGGCCCCCACGTGGGTCACCATGGCGACGCTGGAGCAGTTGTCGGGAACGGCTGCTCGAGCACACTCACGGCCACTCTGCCACAACCCGGGAGGAAGGAGCCCAACGAGGCCCCGGTGGGCAGCCGAGCGGCCCTGGCCGCCAGACGGGACGGGCAGCAGCCTGCTGAGGGAGGCCGTGGGTGCCTGCCGGGACGGGGGAGGCTTCCCAGGCGGCAGGCAGTCACTTCGCTCTAGGGCTCCCCGACACCCTGCACCAGGAGGCCGGCGCCGGCGCCCCACCAGTCGGGCCCTGGCCTCCAGGCCACGCTCCGGACCTCACAGCTGCCCTGCTGGAGGGGCTGGGGGGACGAGCGCGGCTGAACCCCAGAAGGCAGGACCTGCGCAGAGACACAGAGACGATGCTGTGCCCAAAGAGGCCACAGTGCCACGGGGTGCACAGGTCACTGCCCGGCCCAGGCACACGCGCCACGCCCCAGGGCCACACGCAGCGCAACGACGACGCGCGAGCCCAGAACAGCCCGACGTCCAGACAGCGCCGGTGGCAGGCCTGGACACAGCCACACGCCGGCGAGCCTCAGGCAACACCCCTGCAGCCGGGTGAGGGGGCTGTGTGCTGGCCTTTGCCCTCTGTGGCTTAACGGGAGCCGCACCTGGGCTCTGGGGGCCCGTGAGTGGGCGCACCTGGGTCTGGGGCGGGGCATAAAGGGCACAGGGCGCAGGGCAGAGACCGGCGGAAGGTGCGCACAGGAGAGCTGCCTATCTGGAGACCCGAGGCCCCAAGCTGCTGCCCCCCCACCCTGGCCTGTTCACCCGCAGACCACAGAGAGCCCATGGGGATCACGCCGAGGGCCCCACGGCCCCCCTGAAGCTGCCCGAGCCCCGAGGGCCACGCCAAGGGCCCCTGAAGCTGCCCGAGCCCGCGGTGAGTTGACCCGACCCTGCCCAGGTGTTGTGGGTC